TCGAGAAGCGACACCGCGGTCGCCATCTGCTACAACACGAGCGAGTCACTGGCCGTACGAGGAAAAATTAGAATACGGGGAATGCGCAGAATCGATCCTGCGTGCACAGCTTGAGATCCTTCCGTTTCGCCCGCTCTTCACGAGAGATTTGAAAGACAACTACTGGGACCGGCATCGAATGAAAGATTGTCCCCACCGTTCCACGGCAGCGGGCAGTATTGTTGTACAACTGCCAACCAGCCATCAGACAAGATACCTCCAACCTTCGACGTGTATTCTCGAGCGATATTGAAGCAGCGTGGGACTGACAAGGTTCCGTGAGTGACATGTAAAAATGCGCTGATGCCCATCGTCGTTGGGCAGCAGGAGTCCGGTGACATACCTTTGTCGTGGTCGCGCCTACTATCCCCCGATGCCGAACATCCCAGTCCAAGAATACAGTAAATTACATCTTATTTCTATATCTAGTCAATCAGCATTTTACAATTGCGTCCCTCTTGTTCTGGTATCACATAGCGTACTACAGACCCCCGCCACCGAGGATATACTCAATGGCAGAATGGACGTTCCCGCCTGTCGCAAGCAGGGCACGGACGTTCTGCTGCGCATTCGTGAAGCCCATGTCCTGCAGTTGCTGTGTGGAACGCACAAAGTCAGCGCTCGTGGGTCTCACGACAGGTTTTTGTTTTGCGCACGACGCACCTGCAGCTGCACCTGGAACCGTTCCTCGGGCGGCCGCGTGTCCACCGGGGACGCGGGCGGCACACCACCGCCGAACGCGCCCATTCCGCCTCCGCCGAGCATGCCCAGCATCTGCTGCATCGCGGCCGGGTCAAACATGCCAGCGCCAGCGCCAGCACCACCTTCGCTAGCAGCGGCACCGGCTCCTTGTGTGTTCGTGCCGGCTGCCGGAGGAGGTGCGAAGAGGAAAGGGTTGAAGAACGGCGGAGGGGCGGGCGAGCCAGCGCCGCCTTGTGTGTTGGCATCGGTGCCGCTGCCGCCGCCTGGGACGCCGGGCATCGGGAAGCCACCTGCGCCGCCGCCGACGCCGCCGCCGCCCATCATGCTCGACATTTGCAGCATCATGCGCAGCGACTCGGGGTTTGACCTGTGTGTGGCGCTCAACGGTGAGCACGACCGGGGCCGCCAGCAAGGGGCGGCTGTGTACTCACATCATCTGTCTGAAGCCCTCGCTCTGGAACATCTCGCGCATCCGGGGAGCCATCGCCGCGAGCTGCGGGTTCGCCGCAATGACCTGCTCGAGGACGGCCGGGTCGGACATGATGGTGGACATCTGGTTCAGGAACTCGGGGTTCTGGAGCATTCCCTGCATCTGTGTTTCCTGATTGAGGGCCGAGTCCAACAACGGCAACGGCACAGCACACGCACCATGTTGGGGTCGTTCGGGTTGAGGCCCATCTGTGGGAAAGGGTTGAAGCCTGCCATGGCGCCGAATGCGCGGTGGCCATTGAGCTGGGTGAGTGGGTCGTTCGGATTCTGGCCGGTCTGCATCGTTGGAAGCGGTTGTGGCGCGGCCTGAGAGGTCTGGCCTGGCGAGCGAGACACGCCTTTGACCATGTGGATGGTGTGTGACGACTGGATCTTGTAGACAGTGAGCTGGTCTTCATCCTGCACAACGTCAGACATGAGTTTTATTCACAGCCACATAGCACGTCGGGAGAGCGGCGCACCTTCAAGACACGTCCTGTACATGCCATCCAGGTCGCTTAGCCATTGGTATGTTGTCGATATGAACTGTGTACGCACCTGAATAGATAAGCCTCTGGCGATCTGCAGGAACATCCGACTTGTCGGCAATTGCTTGCTTGAGATCAAGCACAGTCTTGTCTGTGGATATGGTGATCTGGAGCTTGAGCTCGCTGGGTCCTGGAAAGCATATTCAACAGCATATCTTTATGGCGTATGTTAACGCACCTTTGACATTGATCTGTATTTCTGAAGCGTTCTGCTGAGTTTCGGTCATGGTGAGACTGTGGAAAGACGTCAAGGGTGTTGTTTGGCCGTGTTGTCCAATAGCCGAGGAAGATCGAGCGCTTATACGCTCCTAGCCATCTGCCCCCGCGCAGGGTCCTCGTCTGCCTTTAATTTTGGACGACCACGACCATCCTCGAGCTCTCTCCGCGGTCTGCGTCGACGCGTCCCAAATGCGCGCCGTCTTGTTCTGCCCCGTGCGCGGTCTGCCTCCCCATGAGAACATTCGGGACGTCCCGCCGGGTTAGGCGCCTTGTGCCACGATGCCGAGCTGCCCCTGCCAACCTGGCTTTCCTTCAAGGCTTCACTTTGGCTAGCTTGACTCTCTATCTACCTATCTTTTAATTGGTCCCCCTCCTCGGCTTTGTTTTGGGTCTTCGTTGTCGCTCTTAAATTCGTTCAAAATTCACTGCAATCCCGCCGGACGCGCTCCAGGAGAAGAGGCCTAGCGGCATCAATTGCACAGTCGTCATGTCGGATTTCAACTTGGTGGACCCACGAGGCTGGGAGTACGACCTTCAATCCGTAAGTATCCGCAGCTCATTCTCCAGGGTCGTCGGCCAATTGCCTGTCTCATAGATATACTCGGCATACATGGGCCATTTCCAATTGCACAACGTCCCCTGGTAGGCAACTCCACTCTATCTCGTGGCTCGAAAGCGCTGAATTTGAATGCCAGGTATGAGCGATCTTGGGGTGTCTTTTTCGAGTCCTTTGAAGAGTTTCTTACGTTCTCATGGCCGGTCATTACTGTCACCGACTGCTCGACGGGCAAGGCACACATCGTGACGCGCATGACATCCATAGGCGCATTTCTCAAGATGGTCAAAACAAGGTACGTTTCTCATTCACTACGCTCCTTGGCAAACCTTTTATGTGTCTGCGAAGATTCGGCGAGACACTCCCGCTCGTCGATAACATTCTGCGCGTCAGCCCATTCGAAATATCTCAGCGCCATCTGCGGACAGTATCCGACTACGCGCTCTACAAGAAGCTGCACAGTACTCTGCCGGCCGCTGTACTGGCCTCCTCCAAACAGCGCGTTCGCGACGGCGAACAGAAGGCCATTCAGGACCTCTGGCAAACGCGGGACAAGACGTTCCTCGCAATTGACTTTGAATGGTCGGAACGCAATGCGTCCTCGTGCTTGGAGTGGGGATACGCCGCTGTGCGCTGCAGCCACCTCGAGGCGTTGGTATCACGGTCAGATGATCATGCTCGCCCAATGACTGACTGTCTGCTGCAGCGTCCGTGTCTGGCCGCCTGACCCCGAGGCCAACTACAGGCAAGCCTTCTCGATCGCCCTTCATCTCCGTGAGATAACCTTCGGCTGTGATCGACAGGAGAGGCCATTATATTATAACTGAATACGCGGATAGGGTTCACAACAAACATCGGCCAAACTTTCCCTGGGCGGTGTGTGCACTCTTCACTTGAACAGCTGACTCCTGTGCTAATTGGCTTGCGTTCTAGTATGCTGTGAGAGTTCCGTGCGAGGCTTCTATGACACACCTTACATTCTATTTGACAGTTCGGAGAAAGCCAGCTCGTCGGCAGAGCCAAACTTCCACAGGTGATCCAGGCAGTCATCAGGTGAGAATCCATCGATTCAATTCATGGCACAGCAGTCACATGTTGAGACGGCCTATCTTTTCTCAGCAGCATGACCAGCCCCGACTCCGAAACTGTGCCCAACAGTCTCGTGCTCGTCGGGCACGGCATCTCCGGAGACATTCGCAGACTCGAGGAGATGAAGATCAGTGCGTGTGCTCGCAGAGCTGAGACATATCTGCTTTCTCATCTCCTCCGCTTTCGCAGAGCTGCCGCACAACGTCTTGATCATCGACACTTCCAGCTACGAGCGCCACCTTTTCAATCAGGGGCAGCGCGGCACCATGCAAGACCCGTCCGGAAAGCCGCGTGCCAAAGGGTCGATACTAACCCTGGCGAACCTCCTGCAGTCGCTCAGCGTCGACGTCCAGGTGCCGTTGCACAATGCAGGGAACGACGCCTTCCTGACGCTGCTCGCGCTCCAAATGCTGCTCGACCCGGAGCACACGAAGGTCCCGAATCTGCGCGGGCGCGCCTTCCAACAGAACATCATGCGCAACGCGAGCCGCCGCCCCCCGGGCTTGACAGGCGTGCCCGCGAGCCCCGGAGTGACGGTGGGCACGCCTGTCGTCGCGATGTACGGCCTTCAGCTGCCCTCGCCGCTGCTCTTCGCGCACTCGCCGTCCATGTCGCCGAGCATCTCGCCGAATCTGACCCCGAACACGCCGAACACGCCGAACACGCCGAACGCGCCGCAGGACCAGGACAGTCCGCGATCGGCGGACTACTTCCAGCCCTCGCCCGGCGGCGGCCGACAGCGGAAGATGAGCGGGCTGCAGCCTGCGGACGGGCGTGGCAGCGCGTCGAGGCGCGGCGGCCACTCTGCTGCTGCTGCTGCGGTGAACGACGCCACGGAGAAG